CTTTTTTTAAATTACTTCATATAAAGGTTTGAAGGGTCCAAAATTAAACTTTGTTTGATTTCAACTAAAATTAAATTATTGGTGTTTTTTTATATGCTGAATCTAACCATGTTGTTAGATTTTGGATATCAGACCATTCTAGGTAAATTAAATGTCCCATTTCAAATTTTTAAGATCTTTGACCACATTTATTTTGTGTCAGAAACCTATATTATGTCAAAAATTTGATCACAATCCAAATTCAGACTGTATCAAGCTTGAATATTGTGTCCTAACTTGCCCCAACTATTCAGGGTTCGACTTCTGAGGTCGTATCAGGCTGCGCTCAGCGAAGCATTTTATTGTAATGTTAATTTCTCTCTTATCATGAGTGATAAGATAACTATATTTGGTATGTGTGTACCTTGCAAGGTCCTCATGCCTGTCAGATAGTTTTCACTTGACCTCAACCTCATTTCACGGATCAGTGAACAAGGGTTAAGTTTTCGTGGTCAAGTACATATCTCAGATACTATAAGCAATAGGTCTACTATATTTGGTGTATGTAATGATTGTAATATTTTACGATGTACATGTCAGTCTGGCAGGTTTTATTTGACCTTGACCTCATTTTCATGGTTCATTGCTCAATGTTAAGTTTTTGTCGAGCCTGCGACTTTTGTCGCAGAAAGCTCGACATAGGGATAGCGATCCGGCGGCGGCGGCGGCGTTAGCTACCTTCTTAAAAGCTTTATATTTTAGAAGATGGAAGACCTGGATGCTTCATACTTTGTATATGGATGCCTCATGTTACGAAGTTTCAGTCAGTCACATGTCCAATGTCCTTGACCTCATTTTCATGGTTCAGTGACTACTTGAAAAAAAAGTTCAGATTTTTTGTAATGTTAAATTCTCTCTTATTATAAGTAATAGGATAACTATATTTGGTATGTGCGTACCTTGCAAGGTCCTCATGCCCGTCAGACAGTTTTCACTTGACCTCGACCTTATTTCATGGATCAGTGAACAAGGTTAAGTTTTCGTGGTCAAGTCCATATCTCAGATACTATAAGCAATAGGTCTAGTATATTCGGTGTATGGAAGGACTGTAAGGTGTACATGTCCAACTGGCAGGTGTCATCTGACCTTGACCTCATTTTCATGGTTCAGTGGTTATAGTTAAGTTTTTGTGTTTTGGTCTGTTTTTCTTATACTGTATGCAATAGGTCTACTATATTTGGTGTATGGAATGATTGTAAGGTGTACATGTCTAGCTGGCAGGTGTCATCTGACCTTGACCTCATTTTCATGGTTCAGTGGTCAAAGTTAAGTTTTTGAGTTTTGGTCTTTTTTTCTAATACTGCATGCAATAGGTCAGCTATATTTGGTGTATGGAATGATTGTAAGGTGTACATGTCTAGCTGGCAGGTGTCATCTTACCTTGACCTCATTTTCATGGTTCAGTGGTCAAAGTTAAGTTTTTGAGTTTTGGTCTTTTTTTCTAATACTATATGCAATAGTTCAACTATATTTGGTGTATGGAAATATTTTATGATCTATATGTCAGTCACGCAGGTTTTATTTGACCTTGACCTCATTTTCAAGGTTCATTGCTCAGTGTTAAGTTTTTGTGTTTTCGTCTGTTTTTCTTAAACTATATTTGTTGTATGGAAGAATTGTTAGCTGTACATGCCTGCCTAGCATGGTTCATCTGACCTTGACCTCATTTTCATGGTTCATTGGTCAATGTTTAGTTTACTTGGTTAATGTTAAGTTTATGTGACAGTTGTAATAAAGCTTTATATTTAGGACTATCAACATAATATCAATGATTAGTAAAGAAGGCGAGACATTTCAGCGTGTGCACTCTTGTTTTGTTTTTGTCTGTTTTTCTAATACTGTATGCAATAGGTCAAATGTATTTGGTGTATGAAAATATTTTAAGATGTACATGTCAGTCTGGTGGGTTTTATTTGACCTTGACCTCATTTTCATGGTTCATTGCTCAATGTTAAGTTTTTTGAGTTTTGGTCTGTTTTTTGTCGAGCCTGCGACTTTTGTTGCAGAAAGCTCGACATAGGGATAGTGATCCGGCGGCGGCTACGGCTGCGGCGGCGTAAGCTAACTGCTTAAAAGCTTTATATTTTAGAAGGTGGAAGGTCTGGATGCTTCATACTTTGTATATGGATGCCTCATGTTACGAAGTTTCCGTCAGTCACATGTCCAATGTCCTTGACCTCATTTTCATGGTTCAGTGACTACTTGAAAAAAAAGTTAAGATTTTTTGTAATGTTAAATTCTCTCTTATTATAAGTAATAGGATAACTATATTTGGTATGTGAGTACCTTGCAAGGTCCTCATGCCCGTCAGACAGTTTTCACTTGACCTCGACCTCATTTCATGGATCAGTGAACAAGGTTAAGTTTTCGTGGTCAAGTCCATATCTCAGATACTATAAGCAATAGGTCTAGTATATTTGGTGTATGTAAGGACTGTAAGGTGTACATGTCCAACTGGCAGGTCTCATCTGACCTTGGCCTCATTTTCATGGTTCAGTGGTTATAGTTAAGTTTTTGTGTTTTGGTCTGTTTTTCTTATACTGCATGCAATAGGTCTACTATATTTGGTGTATGGAATGATTGTAAGGTGTACATGTCTAGCTGGCAGGTGTCATCTGACCTTGACCTCATTTTCATGGTTCAGTGGTCAAAGTTAAGTTTTTGAGTTTTGGTCTTTTTTTCTAATACTATATGCAATAGTTCAACTATATTTGGTGTATGGAAATATTTTATGATCTATTTGTCAGTCACGCAGGATTTTTTTTACCTTGACCTCATTTTCACGGTTCATTGCTCAGTGTAAAGTTTTTGTGTTTTGGTCTGTTTTTCTTAAACTATAAGAAATAGGTCAACTATATTTGTTGTATGGAAGAATTGTTAGCTGTACATGCCTGCCTAGCATGGTTCATCTGACCTTGACCTCATTTTCATGGTTCATTGGTCAATGTTTAGTTTACTTGGTTAATGTTAAGTTTATGTGACAGTTGTAATAAAGCTTTATATTTAGGACTATCAACATAATATCAATGATTAGTAAAGAAGGCGAGACATTTCAGCGTGTGCACTCTTGTCTTAAACTTTAAGCACTTGGGTAAACTGTATTTGGTGTATTGAATGATTGTAAGGTGTATATGTCTGTCTGGCAGGTATCATCTGACCTTCACCTGATTTTCATGGTTCATTGCTCAATGTAAAGTTTTTGAGTTTTGGTCTGTTTTTCTTAAACTTTAAGCACTTGGGTCAACTGTTTTTGGTGTATTGAATGATTGTAAGGTGTATATGTCTGTCTGGCAGGTATCATCTGACCTTCACCTCATTTTCATGGTTCATTGGTCATTGTTCAGTTTTCCTGGCTAACTTTGTTTCTTAGATACTATAAGCAATAGGTCAACTATATTTGTCCATGGGATGATTTTAAGATGTACATGTCTGAGTGGCAGGGTTCATCTGACCTTGACCTCATTTTCATGGTTCATTGGTCAATATGAAATTTCCATGGTTTGGTCTGTTTCTTTTATACTATAAGCAATAGGTCATCTATATTCAGTGTATGAAATGATTGTATTAAAGGTGTACATGTATTTTGGGCTTGGTTTATCTGACCTTGACCTCATTTTCTTGGATCATAAATGTTGTTGTGATACTTGTAGTAAAACGTTATCTTTAGGATTATCAACATAAAATCAATGGTCAGTATAGTAGGCCAAACATTTCAGCGTGTGCACTCTTGTTATTTTTAACATGTTGAAAGTTAGCAGAAAATAATCAGCTTTTAAACATTGTAGAAAAGTTTGGACTGTGAAACAGCTTTGCCAGAATAATAAACCCCTCCTGAATCATTTACTGAAAAGTTTACAACAAACCAACATGGCAGCCTTCATTATAAATAGAAGATTGGGATAAATTTAACAAAATGACAAATTGTTCAAGCTATTAATAGCTGATTTTAATTAACAAATGTAGAAGATATGCACCTATTTTGGACAGATTTGATATTTGTTCTCTGGTTTTCTATGTGTAGAACTTACAGGTCTTTTTTTGTCATTAACTGCTGAAGAGAGTGTCTGGTTTGTTTCATCTTCAATTCTCAACAGTTTCCTTTCAACATTTTGAAACTTTGCACAGTGATTGAACACAGATTGAAGATGTAAAATTGAGAATAGAAATGGGGAATATGTCAAAGAGACAACAACCCGATCAAAGAGCAGACAACAGCCGAAGGCCACCAATGGGTTTTCAACGCAGCGAGAAAATCCCGCACCTAGAGGTGGTCCTCAGCTGGCCCCTAAATAAAATTGTGTACTAGTTCAGTGAAAATGGATGTCACACTAAACTCCAGAACATATAAATGAACTAAAATTAAAAAAACATACATGACTAACAAAGGCCAGTGGCTCCTGACTTGGGACAGGCGCAAAAATACGGCGGGGTTAAACATGTTTTGTGAGATCTCAACCCTCCCCCTATACCTCTAGCCAATGAGAATTAAGAAACACATAGCAATACGCACAGTAAAACTCAGTTCAAAAGAAGTCCGAGTCCGATGTCAGAATAGGTAACAAAAGAAACTAAGCAAAATGACAATGATACATAAATGAACAAAGGACTACTAGCAGTTACTGACATGTCGGCTCCAGACCTCAATTAAACTATTTAGTAAGGTCAGTTTGATTAATTTTTTCTCAGGTTTCCCCAAGTGTGGAAGTATTTGTCATTGAATGTGTAAGAGGATACCTAGTTTGAAACATCTGTAACTAACAGTTTTCTTCCATCCCTTTTATTACTTTGTAACGTTTGTTGAGAACAAAAAGAGGTTAGCTTACACATGTACAAATCTTGCTGTAATGAGTTATCTGGCTATAACTTTAAGAGTTCTTTTTTATTCAAATAAAAAAAATTGCAGTTTTTATGTATCAAGAGAGAAAAGCAAAACATTTTTTATCTGTGGTCATTCTTTATAGATAAGTAAAGATGATGATGGTAGTGGTGAAAAGGAAATACAGTTACAGGGTCCACCTGATGCTATAGCAAAGGCCAAAGAAATGATAAATGAGCTGACACATGATGACAGTGATAGTTTTGGACGAGGAGAAGATTCAAACAGAGGTTTTGGTAGAAGTAATGATAGTGGACAGAGGTCATTTGGCAGAAATGAAGATCAAAATAGACAAAGTGATTCTTCCACTATACGTGTAGATTCATCTATGGTTGGAAGAGTTATTGGTAAATAGAATTGAAAATGAATGCACTTTATTCTAATGGTTTTATTTGTAACTAGATATTTGTTTTTCTTTAAAAGTAGATAAATACTCATTGATATATTAATATTACTTCGTTTTGGAATGTAAAATTCTTTGGTAGTCTTAAATAAACTTAATTCTCTTGAAGTACTTTTTTTTTCTTATTCAGGAAAAGGTGGATCAAAGATCAGGGAATTACAGGATGAAACTGGGGCTAAAATCAATGTAAGTTTACATATAATACTGAAATCATCAATGGCGAGCTGAGATTACACTTCAAACACTGACCCACTGAAGGTATTTTATTTGAAAATAAGAAGATGAGGTATGATTGCCAATGAGACAACTATCAACCAAAGTTCAAATGAAGTGGATGTAAGCAATTATAGGCAACCATACGGCGTTCAACAATGAGAAAAAAAACCATACCGTATAATCGGCTATAAAAGGCCCTGAACAGATCTGAGAGTACTCGCAGTTACTGTCAGCTAGTTCAAAGCCAATAACAACTAATAAAAAATCATGTATCTGTGACTTAACTTTACATGTTTATTTTTAGCATGTTGAAAGTTAGCAGAAAATAATGAGCCTTTAAACATTTTAGAAAACTTTGGACTGTGAAACAGCTTGGCCAGAATGATAAACCTAACCTAAATCATTTACTTAAAAGTTGACAACAAACCAACATGGCAGCCTTTGTTATTAACATTGATAAATAGAAGATTGGAATAAAATTGACAAAATGTGAAATTGTTCAAGCTATTAATAGCTGATTTTGATTAACAAATGTAGAAGATATGCACCTCCTATTTTGGACAGATTTGATATTTGTTCTCTGGTTTTCTATGTGTAGAACTTACAGGTCTTTTTTGTCATTAACTGCTGAAGAGAGTGTCTGGTTTGTTTCATCTTCAACACTCAACAGTTTCCTTTCAACATTTTGAAACTTTGCACAGTGATTGAACACAGATTGAAGATGTGCACTGTTTAGTAAGGTCAGTTTGATTAATTTTTTCTCAGGTTTCCCCAAGTGTGTAAGTTTTTGTCATTGAATGTGTTAGAGGGTACCTAGTTTGAAACATCTGTAACAAACAGTTTTCTTCCATCCCTATTATTTGTTGAGAACAAAAAGAGGTAAACCTTACACATGTACAAATCTTGCTGTAATAAGTTATCTGGCTATAGTGCTATAACTTTAAAAATTCTTTTTATTCAAATAAAAAAAAATTGCAGTTTTTATGTATCAAGAGAGAAAAGCAAAACATTTTTTATCTGTGGTCATTCTTTATAGATAAGTAAAGATGATGATGGTAGTGGTGAAAAGGAAATACAGTTACAGGGTCCACCTGATGCTATAGCAAAGGCCAAAGAATTGATAAATGAGCTGACACAAGATGACAGAGGTCCACCAAGGTCATTTGGTGGAGGAGGAGGTGGGGGTGGTAAGTGTTTTATAAAGGCCAGATGTTTTGGATTGATTAATTGTTGTTTGCCAAATGTCCAGTGGCAAATATTTCTAGCGTTTTTATGACAAGATGGTTTTGGAAGAGTTTTGGATACTTAATACAATTTTTTTTATGATATGAAAGTAAAAGTTTTATTGTCTCACCTACAATGAAAGTGGCATTATGCAAGACATAAGTATTACAATCCGTCTACGGTGCAAACTATTTGTTTAAAGCTTTATATTTCAGAAGGTAGAAGACCTGGATGTTTCATACTTTGTGCGCAGATACCTTATGTTATGAAGTTGTCTGTCATATGTCCATTGTCCTTGACCTTAGTTTCATGGTTCAGTGACTGCTTGAAATTTTTTTTTAGTTTTTTGTTGAGCCTGCGACTTCTGTTGCAGAACGCTCGACATATGGATAATGATCTGGCGGCTGTGGCGGTGCCGTTAACTAACTACTTAAAAGCTTTATATTTTAGAAGGTGGAAGACCTGGATGCTTCATACTTTGTATACAGATGCCTTATGTTATGTAGTTTCCGCCTGTTATATGTCCATTGTCCCTGACCTCATTTTCATGGTTCAGTGACTACTTGAAAAAAAAGTGGATTTTTTGTAATGTTAATTTCTCTCTTATTATAAGTAATAGGATAAATATTTTTAGTAAGTGCATACCTTGCAAGGTCCTCATGCCTGTCAGACAGTTTTCATCTGACCTCAACCTCATTTCATGGATCAGTGAACAAGGTTAAGTTTTCGTGGTCAAGTCCATATATCAGATACTATAAGCAATAGGTCTACTATATTTGGTGTATGGAATGATTGTAAGGTGTACATGTCCAACTGGCAGGTGTTATCTGACCGTGACCTCATTTTCATGGTTCAGTGGTTAAAGTTAAGTTTTTGTGTTTTTGACTCTGCCACCGAGACCCCCCTCATATCAATTTAGATAGTTCAGTAATACTGTTATAAGATTCAGGTTGTTAATATTTGATATAAAAATAATATTTTTGTTTTAGGATTTGGAAGAGGTGGATTTGGTAGCAACTCATCAACGTCTAACACAGAGGCAGCACCTGTGATCAACTGGGGAATGATCAGGGCCAATAAAGAAATCAACGAAAAGAAAAAATGGGAAGGTAATTTTTACACTCAACTTATGTTGACTGGAATTGAATTCATTCACAAGTGTTTAAAATGATTGCTGGTAGATCAAAGTGAAGTCTTAGGTTTGAGAAAGAAGTTTGAATTTTAATTAATCTGGTAAAAGGTCATTTATGCAGGTATATTTATTTGCGTATTGTAAACCTTTAAAACCCTGCTATAAACACATGATGATGGAAACCCTGTTATTGATTTGGGGTAGTATAGAGTGTGGTCAGATGGGCTGCTCTAGCTGTTTCTTTTCAATAACTTATGAGCCATTTGCTCAATTCTTTCAAATTTGATTTATGTTGTTACTAATGACAAGATCAATTTCACTTTTGCAATTTTTTTACTTTTGCTGTTAATGAGTTGTAATCATTGATCAATTAGAAGACAGCACTTTTTTATGTCGTTTCATTCGACATAAAGTGCAAGCTTCTAATTTAATTAAACGGTTTCCATGCAATAGCTTGAGAACCGTTCAACCAGCGCTTTACACAAATTAATATTTTGTTACTGATGATAAATATATGTTTAATTTGATATTGGCAAAATTCACTTTGACCCTTCAGGAGTTATGTTAGTTGCCACTAAAAAATGTACTAAAAATCTGGTTTGCTTTCATTTTGATAGCCTCTTGTTTCATTTCTAATTGTGTACTATAACTCTTAAGGTAGATTTTCAAAATCATATATCAACCCTTAAATATCAATTAATTTGCCTTGTAATCCCCCCCTCCCTATTTTCACAAATATTTTTTGAAAATGCATATCCTCTGGCATAAAATATTTCATTTAAAAAAAGTCTATCTTGCATGAAATCATGTTTTGAATTATTAGTGACTTTAAGTTAAGCTATAAGTTAAAACTTAACATTAGCCAATGCCACTTCACATCCAAGGTTTACTATAATTAGGCCAGATGAATTATTTCTTATACATTTTCAGGTTTACCCCCTATTGAGAAAAACTTTTACATAGAAAGTCCGTCAGTAAAAAATATGTATCCTGATGAAGTTAGTGAGTTTAGGTAAATATATTCTCATTCATATAATAAGGTTATTACAATTATAAAGACATACAGCTCGTTAAATAAGATTTAACTTTCAAATATCTAATAGATTGTTTAAATATGTCTAATCTGGGTTTGAAGGCTTTTTGGAAACAAGGGTGCAGAATTCCTTGTATGTGCCAGTTTGACAGGCATTGGGACAACTTATTTTCCTCATTGTGTATCGAGGGAGCATAGACAGATTTGCAGGTTTTAGGAAAAATGCATGGAAATTCTTATCTATTCATTATCTGTCAAAAAAATGTTCCATAAATCTCAATTATACTTTTTGCCATAATGACAATTTTATTGTGTAAAAGCTAACAAAATATTGTCAAGAAAGTGTTTGATTACACAAAGTGCTAGGCTGTCTTTCATGTAAACTTTTATTCCATAGAGTTTAAAAACTGATCATTCATTAATATACATTGTATCAAAAGACAAAGAAAAAAGTGGTTTTCTAATCTCACCTCAGTCAGTTCTTGGAATTTTTTATTTATCAGCAAAGTTCTTGAAATTTTCATTTATCAGCAAGAAGCATGATAGATTTTACAAGAAAACAAAAAATCTCCCTTAAGCAAGCTCTTGGGAGTTTTTAATACTTGGGTCTAATTACAATAAGTTGAGTTGGTAAGTTGATAATTTTGGGAATTTAGCATGACTTTGAAATAATTTGGAAAAGGAATAGCTCTTTATAAATAGACAGTGAAGTTTCCTAGAAAAATCTAACCAACACCTAGTTTTTGATCTAACTTTATATACAGTTCCTTTGACAAGGCTAGCTTGAAAACACATCGATAAAAATGTTTATAATGATTCATAGTTATACTATATGAGTTTGAACAAAATGTAGATAAAACAAAAATGATTTGTGAATTGTTAACAAAAAATCAGATCCTAATTGATAAAAGTTTCAAGGATTTCTTCATAGATTCTTGTTTTTAATGAAATAAACTTTATTGCAGAAAAACAAATAACAACATAACAGTTACTGACTTGAGCAGTGAAGGAAATCGAAATATACCTAATCCTTGCAGAACATTTGAAGAAGCTTTTGAGCATTATCGTAAGTTCACATGGAAATTATAAAGTATTATTTTCACCTTATTTCATTCATACATTATTTTCTCCTTATTTCATTCATACATTTACAGTTTTTAACCAATATTGTAATAGAAACTATTTAACATCAGTTACTTTTGGCATACATTGCATTGAATAGAAATTAACAAATAAATAGAATTGTTTTATATTTTGTCAAGTCCTGGCCTTTTATAGCGTACTAAGCTGTATGGGTTTTGCTCAATATTGAAGGCTGTTTGATGACCCATTTGAACTAACATGTATATGATTTACTCTCTTGTGAATAGTTGTCTCATACATCTTCATATTTTTACATAGAATATTGTTTTAGTGATTAGAAATTAGTCATTAATTAATTATATATTACCATCTGCACATGATATTAGTTCCTTAATAAACATAGAAACTATACATATATGTATGTAGATATTTGAAATGGAAAATAGTAAAATTTTATTAAAAAAAGCCTTAGTTATTCTGCATTTCCCAAAGGAAATATTTTTTTAGAAAATAAGAAGATTTTATCAGTGAAATGAAAATTATCTTAACAAATAGTATTCAGAATAATTCACAATTATATCTTCATAGTCATCTTTGGATCTTGGTGATTGCAATTAGATCAAAGTGAAATAGATATGAAAGGTGTAAATTTCAACAGGTGTTTTCTGTATTTACAACACAAAAACATGTCATCAGTGTGTGATAAATAAACACCTTGGGTAGTTCTCTTACAGTTTAATTGTTTTTCATGGCTCCAGTAAATTTCTTACTATTGTTACAACTGTCTGTCAATTTAAATTTGTACTGATTGCTATTTCTTTGTCTTCTTGTTTCAATGACAGTTTGAGTTGTATCTTGTTAAAAAGTTATGTAAACATTGTTAGTTAAAATCAAAAATACAAATGTTGATTATGTATCAAAATATTGAGTGACATCTTTCCCTCAGTCTCTTCAAGATATGCTTACATTTTTGGCAAACTTATATATATAATTATATTCAACAAATTTTAATATTTAAAATAAAATGTCTTGTTAAAATTAATAAAACAATCAGTAATTTGGAGATTTTTTGCAGATTTCAAAATAAATTTGGTATGTGAAAATATTTATTTCATTTTAAAGACATTAATTGGATATAGAACTGAATGGTGAAGCAAAATTTGGATCTCATATTGAAATGAAATGAATTTTAGTGTTTTTGATGAAACGAGATACAACTCAAATGTTACATATTTAGATATATGTGTTAAGTTAATTCCTGAATAACAAATGTCTAAAAATTTTAATATCTCATGACATCACTTGAATTTTCAAGAAGGTTAAATCTGGGGTTGAAGTTTTTATGACCTTTTAAACTTTGTCATACTTTAAAAAAATATTTAAACTTTGATGTAAGCTTTTTATGATGAAGAGATAATGTCGGAATCAAAATTATGAAAATATTCCCCCCCCCCCCCCCCCCTGTTTTACTGATAAAAAGACTTCAAATAGTTAACAAAATAGATTTTCTGTGTATTCCTGATAAATGGACTAAATTTTTGGCCATCAACTTTTCTAATTTACAATGACAGCAGCAATTGCAGGCATGATACATGTTTCCTAGGAACCATTTACAATTTTTAAAATATCAGAAATACATGTCTTAGAAAAAGGAGAGAAAGAAAGTATATTTCATAGAACATTATTGGTATCAAGTATAAATTGGTTGCAAATTGATGAACTGGTCATTGAATGTTGTTTTACAACACTTTTTACATCTGTCTTGTGCATGCAAGCCAATTTTTTTTCCTTCTTTTATACCCAAGTTTGTTAATCCAGGCAAAGTTGAATGAACCTTTCCCTCACTGTTATAAACTGATCAAAGTGAATGAGAAGTGTCAGATATATGACAGGACAAGTTTTCTAATTTTACAAAGAAAACTGGATTTGATGAATTGAATACTCTTTAATTCTTATGTCTCAATAAGTTTGACACTGCTGCATATATTGTTTATTGAATGTGGATTATTTTCCCTTAACATTAAGCAAGGGGTATTTCTCACTATGTTACACAAAATGTAGTTATATTTACATGAACTTCAAATAATATCTAATAATATATCAAATATGAGTTAAACATCAAAGTGTTTCATGTTCTTTTATTCAAAGTGATGAAATGGAATCTAGATTTCTATACTGGGAAGTTTATATAGATTATATACACTAAATGAGTACATTTATATTTACTTCTTAAAAATTAAATTTTGAAAGATAACTAACTCCCAATTGTATACAAATTAAAGAGCCTGTAGACTTCTAAAACTATGTACAAGTAAAAATATAACTTTGCTAAAGCATTGAACAAGGATAACTAATTCACATAGTTTGTACCAGGGAAAAAATGCCAAAATCTGGATTTCATAAATAAATATGATTAATTCTCAATTTTCAAATTTAGGCTTGAGTTTAATAAAACATCTGATTGTTAAGCCAATCATGAAATAAAACAAATAAATATGAAGTAAAAAAGATAACTTGGTAAACTCAAAAAGTTATTGAAGTTCTATTTGTATTTCATTTTGTTGCAATTACTGTGTGTTTACAACAAATTCTATTCATTAAATAAGTACAAAAGATAAAAAAAAAAAAAATTAATTATTAATTAGGTTTTTTTTATGCTTAGAAAAACAGAAATATTTTATTCTCCCTGTAATGGTTTTTCCCAATTGTCCTTTTTTTCTCAAGTTACACATTGTAATAACATGTGTAAAGATGAAAAGACTTCTGAAACATCCTATTTCCTCATTTTGTAAGCCTGGGGTGTGTGTTATGCAATCATTTTAAAGGTAATAAAATCAACAGGTGATCATTAATTGACACATGGCCCAAGCCAAGTCTTCTACATTGGACTAATTTCTTTATTAAACTTATCAAGCACTGTCTATAGATAATTGTATTGAGTGGGGGTGTTACCTGGACTAGATTCAAAAGGTCATTGGTCAATCAGATTGAAAGGACTTGACAGTGTCATTATATGTTTGGAAAAGGGAGACAGATTATTGGTTACAGGATTAATCCATAGGGGATTTGGCAGTTTGAGAAATTTAAAACAGGATATACACATAAATATGAGTTTTCATGTCATTAGAAATATTAACACTTAGGGAAGTTGAGAGAAACACATCAACTATGACTGTTGTAACAGCCAAACGTTCTTTGAAGAAAAAGGTCACTATTGAATTGTCAACAAATAAATCTGTGAGGTCTAGAACACCAGTGTATATGTCAACACCTCAGATGACCAGAACAGGACTTTTTTCTACATCTGTAGCTCTGACTCCTAGATATCATTCTGTAAAATCAACATCAAAAGTTCAAAGATCTCTTACCTATTCCACAGTGAAAGCCATTCAAGAAGTACAGCAAAAGATTACCAGCAAAGTTCCAGTTATGTCTACAGTGAACTTTTTAAAGACTAAGAAGCAAAAATCTCTCCTTGACAAGAGCTCAGTTCAGCAAAATCTTACAAAACGAAGATTGTTTGGTAATCAAAAGACTTCTTCATACAAGTCAAAGACTACCACTTCAGTACTGACAGACATTCCTAACCATCAAGTTAATATTCCAGAAGGATCAGCCACTCATCATCTTCAAGTAGATTCATCACCAGTCAATACAAGCCAGGAGAAAGCTGTTCCTAAAGACACATCATTTGTACACAGCAAAGACTCTACCAAACATCTTGTAGTTGATTGTGTGACTATTCCAAAAAACTGTGAATGCAATTCTAACATTGTTACACTGGAATATATGCAGAAAAAGTCTAAAAAGCCATCAAAGAGATCTAAACGTTCAAGACAACGTTGCGGTTGTATAATTTGTGTAATGGAGAATTCTAAATTTGTGTTTTCTACAGAACTGTTATTTACGTCGTGTGTAAAATTTGTTCTCAGGATTTTTTCATGTGTGGATGGTTTCTTCCAATGTAAAAAATTCAGTGGGACAGAATGAAATACATTTTATTGTAAAAATCAACTGTGAATTAATTTAAAGAAGATGTGAAATTTATAAGCTGTAAATATATAATGACATTATTTGCTTTATTGGAATCCATTCAGATTCATGGATATCATTTCAGTGCTGTATTAACCTTAGTGCTTAAAGTTTATATGTATTGTATATATAGATGTTGTCTTCATGTGATCATTGATGTATTTATTAAATATGAATGCAAATATTTATTTCTTATTTACTTCATATTAGATTTTGAAAGTACAAATGTATTTTACTTTGACAGTTGCAAGAACTTTATTCTAGTTATTATGAGGGTATGTGTAAGTTGTCAAAAGGCAAAGCATGTTTCTGATTTAATATATGAAGTTTTAATTTCATAAATGCTCAATTCTAAATTCAGATTATCGTTTTAAAAAGACTACAGAAACTACCCATTTTTCAGTTTGATTTTTTTTATGAGTCTGTTCTTTGACTTCAAGCATATCTTTTGTTCAAAAACTACAAAATCTTTCTTGCAACTGATACTACAATTATATGATATTATTTATCGCATAATAAAAATCATTTATAAAATGATTACAAATAAAGAAGGAAACCCTACATGCCCTAAGGAAAAATAAAATAGATCATTTATGTTCCTTTGAAGTTTTGTGAGTGTTTACACAGTGAGTTACAGTGTTACATCATACAACACAATTAATATAAAACTATACATCCTGTCTTTTCCTATTCCTAAAATATTATCTACAATACATCCTATTCAAACAATTTATAATTCATTTAAATTATGAAAAATTAAAGTCAACTGACATACTCGTAAAAGTTTGGAATCACATATTGCGATTCAAATACTTGGTCAGATTTAAATGTTCTTATTTGAAAACAGTAGTCTGATACAATACACTTCATTTTGTTTTCTGCCATACTGAAAAGTTTGACCAATGGTTGCTGAGGTTGAAGTGTCCAACCTGTAATTTTCCTGGTGAAAAT